AAGGGGAAAAAATGAGAATCAAGACTTGCCATGTAGAGGTACATGATCCCAACAATGAATGTAACTGTACTGTATCCCTAAAATGTACCAATAAACTCAATAAAATTAAAAAAAAAGGTATATTACGAGCTTTGCTTGCTAATGATGTAAACATTTTTTAATATCCTAGCAGTTTTACCAGTGTATCCACATAGTTCAAGTGTCAGAATGGGGGGGGGAGGAGACACAATAAAGAGTGCATTTCTGTCAGTAACAGAGGTTTAAAGACAAATTTCAAACAAGAAGTCATATATTTCCTTCAAAACAGCTAAAAGTCAACAAATAGTTTTATTTAGCTTGCTGCTGCCTAATTGGCTGCTATTCAACACACAAGAGTGAACACTTAACACCTTACCTGCTGAGTTTCCTGTATAAAAGGAAGTGTGGGCTCATGCACACATCACACATCTGTGCGATATGCTGTTTGCTCTTGGCTGAACAACGCTCATTTCCCTTTCCAGCAAAACTTAAGAAATATTACGCTGACTACTATTGAAAATATTCTTATGGGGTGCTAAAACAGACTCTCTCACATACAGAGGGTATAAATTGGTATAACTTTTTCAAGAATAGAATCTCAGTAAATAGCCAAATTTTTGTATACATTCCTAAGAAGTTATGCCCAAATCACACAGAAAATTCAAATTTTATATTATCCATATTAAATTTATCATACAAAAGTGGAACAACTGTCAAAGAATACAGGAAGGATTACTAGTAAACTAACATTGTATTCACATTATGGAATAGTAAGTAGCCATTAAAACTGCTTTTGAAGAATATTTAACGACTTTGGAAATACTCAGGATCTCAAGTGAAAAGAACAGGTTATAAACAAAATACTCAAAATGTTAAAAGGAAAAACAAGATTATGAAACAGTAGGTGAAAAATAATAAAAGGCTAAAAAGAGAGAAAGGGCTAAAAGGGCAACCAAATGTTAAGTGGCCAGGCATGAGGGTACATGGCTATAATCCCAGAAATTTGGGAGTCTTAGGCAGGATGATGGAATGTTTGATATCAACCCTGGTAACTCAGTGAGTCTATGTCTCAAAATACACAATGAATTTAAAAGACTGGAGATAGACTCAGTGTGAAAGCCCCGGGTTAAATCCCCTGTAACACACACATACACACACACACACACACACACACACACACACTCAAAAGTTGTGATTAAAAGACCCTAGATGACTAAGGGCTTTTCTTCTATCAAAAATACATTTCTGCATTTCTACACAAATATTAATAGGCATTTCTTGCCTACTTTAGAAAGCAATTATTTATTTTTATTATTGTATATCTCACAAACTATTTGAGACAGAGTACACTTAGTATTTTTTACTTTAGTAAAGGTTTTGGGTAAAGAAAAAAGATGATAAAGTTTCTTATAGGAAAGATGTATAATATTAAATTAGATATTTATCAAATTTCCAAAATAAAACAAAAAATCCAGGATATATGGTTACACTAACTGTGAATAATGCAAAGATATGCCCAGAGGTTTCATGTTCTTGAGCAATTTAGTTTTCCTACGAAGGTAAGATACATGTCCAAGACAATCTGGTTAATAAGTTTATACAGCAATTCATAAGTACTGACACACTGAGTAGAGACAGCAGACATTCCACAGACATTTAGGAAAGAGCTTGGAAGAGGCAGCACTTAAATTAGGATGGTTAACAATGAACAGTTGGAGGGGTTTGAATTGAACCTTGAAGTTTTGGAGATGGATGTATGAGTTCATAGGGGGAAGTAGACTTTAAAAAAAAAACCTCAAAATTTAAGTTACAAACAGTGCATAAAGAAATTTTTTATATTCCTAAAGCAAAGCAAGTAGTAACATGGGGTAATACTGCCCTTGATTATGTTACTTGTAAACAAGGATGCTTTCATATATGAAATAAAATCAACCCTGGGCAGTGGCACACACTTATAATTCCAGAACTCCAGAGGCTGAGGCAGGAGGATCATTAAATTCAAGGCCAGTCTGGCCTACACAGGGAGTTCAAGGTTAGCCTTGAGATCCTGTCTCAAAACAAACAAATTAGACTGCTATTGATACATTACTACTTCCTCTCTCTCTCATACTGGGAATTGAACCCAAGGTCTTGTACATTCTCGGCAAGCAACAAGTATTGAGTTACATCTCTAGCCCTTACACATTTTTTTTTCTATTTTATTCACTCAATTGCCCAGGTTGACCAAGAATTTATGATTCTCCCATTTCAGCTTCTCCAGTAGCTGAGATTAGCAGATGTGCACTATAACATCCAGTCACTACTATCTAATTCTTAAACCTCATTCAAGATTTACCCAATTGTTCAAAAAATGTCCTTTATAGTTAAAAACCACATGTACTATTATAGTTATCATGACTCATGTTTTCATTTGGGAACAATTTTTTGGTCTCTTTGGCTTTCTTGTCCTTGATAGTTTTAAAAATACACACTAGTTATTTAGGAGAATGTCCTTCAAATTTGGCTTATGTTTCTTCATGATTAAAACTGGATGATGTAAGTTTTCAAGCAATGATAGAGTGATGTCTATCACATCTATTAAATGGGATGTTAATCATGTGGTTAAGGTAATATATGCCAGGTAAAACTAATCTTTGTATTTATTTTATATGGTAGAAGTCAGAGGTTATATAAATATCCAGATCCTCAAAAAGTTTTTAACTCATTAATTAACTTATACCAGCATAGTTTCATTGCTTTCTATTTAAGTCCATGGGTTATAATCTATTATTATCATTTTCATATCAGATTTTTATATTTATGATGGACTTACTATAATTTTATTTTGAGATAGTGAATTTTGTAGAATATGTAACTTGCTAATTTCATTCTGCTACTAAATGGATGTAAAAGCACTACTCTCCTACTTTTGAGATTTACAGTTATTTTCAGAATCCTAATATGTAAAATGAGATAATAATGTGGAGCTTTCTGATGCAATGAACATTTTCTGAGTTCATAGCACATACAGAAATAGTATTTCATAGGAGGCGAGTGGCCCCTGATTTCAGGCTATCCCAGCTATTCCAGGGACAAAGAGGAATTAATACCTTGCCACATTTTTAATCCACTTTAGGCACAGATGTGAAAAAGCTCTGATTTAGTAGAGAGCAACAATTTTAGTCAGAATATCTTGGTTAAATTTTTGGGTGTATCTTTAAGTAAGAGATAGTATTCTAAGAATTTCTTTGAATATAGAATTATGTTTTGTTAATAACTATTGCAGGTTTGAGGCAAGTCATATGATCTCTCCGGAGCTTTAGTGTTCCTTTCTCAGAAACAATACTACAAATATTTAACAACTAGTATATCAGGACACTGACTAATCAGAAGAGATACAGGAATTTCAGGAAAGGGACGGGGGCTGCAGTTATTTGAGAAAGACTGGTGCAATAGCTACTTAGGAGTCAGTAGTATATATAAGTAACTGAATATATTAGTAATATTGTCATGCTATTGTATACTGGCTAAAAGATCAGGCTTATATATCTTATAGCAGAGTGTCTGGCACAAATTAGGTAACTGATATTAATGAATTATTGAAAGGGAGTTTCTCCAGATGATAAAGGTGCTAGTAAAGCTCTAATAACCCATAATTTTCATTCTATCAGTATTTAACTTTCATAAAATTCATCTTCTTAACATATAAAAAGGAGGAAATAACTGTTTTGTTATATGAGACTCATTTAAAGGAGTACATGAGCCCCTGCCGGTGCTGCCATTGCTCCAGTGCAAGGAAGGTGAGATTTGGGAAGGTTGCTCCAAGATCTGCTCTCCTTGCGGCCTGATTGGGCCCAATCTGCAGGACCAGGTAGCCACGCCCTCCCCTTCCTGCATCACCATCAGCTCCAGCGCAAGGAAGGTAGCCACGTGGGTGCCCCTGAAACACCCCCACCCCCGATCTCAGACCTCCTGATTGTGCCAGTCCTTGGATCCTCATAAAGGGTATTTTTCTGAGCTCCCAACTTTGAACATCTTTAAAGAAAGGGCGGGGGAAACCTGTAGTAGAACTGTGTGGAGATCAAATCTGCAGGAAGTCAGGGAACTCAAAAGGGCCTTGCGGCCCAAG